GAGGAGGAGGAGGAGGAGGAGGAGGAGGAGGGGGTGTCCCGATTGAATGTTTGATTGGTTGGTTGATTGATTGATTGATTGATTGATTGATAGGGTGATTGATTGAATTCGTTCAGTAACATCGGTTGATTGCGGACTTCGTGAGGGTGATGGCGGAGATCTATCAACGAATCAATCAATCAATCAATTTAATTAATCAAGCAATCAATCAATCAGTCAAACAATCAATCAGTCAAACAATCAATCAATCAATCAATCAATCAATCAATAGAGACTATCACTCGATTAAGCACTCAATGAACAAATGCGTCCGTATCTAACTCCATGGCTATCTTGGTTTGTCCATGCAGGTTGAACCTTTGCTGCATGCCAGGCTGACGCAGTGGTCTCAGAGGATTCGACACCAATTCAAGGAATTGGAGAGTTAGTAATCAGTCATTCCTTGGCCAGCGTTCATAGGCGGCTAGTCGGTATCCTGTTCCTCCCCGTCGTAGTCATGGCGACAAACAGTAGACGGCCACGAGGGGGGCAACTCCCTCCATTCGTGCCAGTGCCTGCCCACAAGCAAGCAGAACTGAGGCGAACACATGTGGTGTGGGAGTGGGCGGAAAGGGGGCAGGAGTGGGGGTTGACGGGCGGAGGCAACTTTCTCCTGCGCTGCCGACTGTGTGGGGAGGTGTTCACTGGTTCGAGGTCCAGAGCAGTGGAGCACTTCGCAAAACCGAAGGCACACTGCCCCCGACAGAAAAAGCAGATTTTGTATAGACTGCAAGCGGATGGTGCTTTGTTGAGGGATGCATTGTCACTCAGACTGACTGCTGAGCACACAGACAGGATGGATGGAGAACTTGCCGCCGAGGACCTGAGGGAGTTGGACGAGCCATGTGACCCGGTGCGGGATTGTGCAAGAGGAGTTGGAGATGGTGATTGTGGTGAGGGTGGTACACAGCAGGGGCAGGATGCTGGGACTGTGACAGATGAGTTGCGGGGCGTTGAAGGTGTAGGAGATGGTGGAGGGGATGGAGGGGGAGCTCAGGTTACTGTCACGACGGCCACCACCTCCACACAGGTGGTGCCGAGGAGGAGACAGACGACCCTAGATATTCATCTAGGGAGCAAGGTCCAACACGATCTTGATCGTCTGTTGGCCCTTGCTATCTATCGAGGTGGAGTGCCCTTCAACTGGTTGAGGTTGAAGGAGACGCAAGACTATTGGAACCACATAGTCACACTCCTGCGTCCTTCGATCGTGCCGGTGCCACGGCTGCTGACATACGAGGGAGTCCGCACAAGGATGATGGACATCACTTTCCACGAGGTAGCAGCCCTCATTGCACCTAAAAAGGCAAAGTGAGCTACCACAGGATGCACGTTGCTCACAGACGGGGCTACTGACACGACCAACAAGCCCATCATGAACTTCATGGCAGCAGGACAGTCCGGACCCATCCTCATCCGGACCATCGACATGTCACATCGGGAGAAGACGAGAGTCGGTCTGGGCGACATATGGGAGGGAGTCATCAGAGATGACACTGGCATTGACAAAGTGAATGCCATCTGCACCGACAACGCAAAAGTGATGAAGACAACAGCCAACATCTTGCAGTCACACCCCGACCTGGCTATGCGTCGCATACCTTGGATCCCGTGTACAGCACATTGCTTGAGCTTGTTGCTGAGGGACATTGCGTCACAGCCTCGGGCGACCACTGTCATGAAGAAGGCGCACAAGTAAGTCAAGTTCATGCGCAACAAACAACGAGCCCTAACACTTTACAAGGCCATGAGGAACGCGCTAGTACTGAAGCGACCAGCGGAGAGGTGATTTGGGACAGCGTTCATGATGTTGGAGAGGCTATATGAGCAGAGAGGTGTGTTAGACAAGCTCGTGTCAAGGGAGTTGTGGGCGCAGGCGCGGTGGACTGGGGATGCGAGGAGGGATGAGCCCGAGGTGTGCAGGATGTGCAGAGACGAGTCTTGGTGGGAGAGGGTGAAGGTGGTCATGGACGTCATGGCCCTGTGCTACAGGTTCCTAAGGGATATGGACAGGGATGGGTCATCACCCACAGGATTGTGGGATTTGGAGAGCATATTGCGGGGGAGGGTCAGGGGCCTTGGATTGACAGAGGATGAGAGGAGGGCGATCATGGATATCATATCCGACAGATGCATGATGATGCGTCAGCCTGCCCATGCGGCTGCGTATCTGTTGGATCCTCGTCGTCGTGATATCTCGTTGCTGACGGACCGCAGCAGCCCAGTCGTGCACAGCACACTAGACCACTTGGCTCGCTGTCAGGGTGCAGGTTGGGAGTATGATTCTTTGCATAAGCTTTGGCAGGCATTGTGGACTTTCCATTGCGAGGACCCTCGCTATTGGCCGAAGAGTGGAGTGCATTGGTGGGACGAGTTTGCGGTGAAGGACGCGGCGGAGGGGGGGATGCATGCAGCGATGTGGTGAGAGCTTCACGGTGGTCAGGAGCCGAGACTGCAGACGATTGCGAAGAGGGTTTTGGGTATGTGGTCCACGGCCAGTCCTTGCGAGAGGAACTGGTCCACCCACGATTTCATCCACACGAAGAGGAGGAACCGCCTTTCTGCAGAG